GTCTAGTCTAGTCTAGTCTAGTCTAGTCTAGTCTAGTCTAGTCTAGTCTAGTCTAGTCTAGTCTAGTCTAGTCTAGTCTAGTCTAGTCTAGTCTAGTCTAGTCTAGTCTAGTCTAGTCTAGTCTAGTCTAGTCTAGTCTAGTCTAGTCTAGTCTAGTCTAGTCTAGTCTAGTCTAGTCTAGTCTAGTCTAGTCTAGTCTAGTCTAGTAGGAGAAGACGTACCCTACTACTGTACTCCGACTCTTCAATTCCAAAATACCTCTTCTTCAAAATTCGTATCCTGGCGTAAGTAAAATGACAATTATCATGGTGTGACTTTGCAATGCTATGTAAAAGCACTTCCAGCTGCTCCACTTCTTCACTGCTAAGCGTGCTAGTATTGATGTCTGGGAAGTTAATGACTACGGGTGACTTAGTAGACGCTGACTCGTCAGGGCTTGGCGTTGGGGTGTCAAATAGGAAGTTTTTCCCAGGCGAGCTTATTGGCGATGATAGAAAGGGAGATAGTTGAAAGCTGCTGCCCAAACTGCCACACGGTGATGGCTGTTGTGCTGACTGCTGTTTTAACACTGACTCTGTTGTTGCCTGGTTTCTAAGAGAGGGTGTCAGTTGCTGTGGTGATCCTATAGATTGGGGAGATGGCTTAGGTTTGGTGTACTCTGGTTCAATACTATTAAGTGAAGTGTAATTTGTCATTTCAGTCATAGTTTGCCTTTGTGAGGAATGATATCCGGAAGAGGTTGCCGCACAATCGGACGATTTTTGTTCTTTGTTTATGAATCCTGAAAGCTCACTGAAAGGTGAAACTGGTGACGGGCAGACCTGCTGCTTCAATGGTTCCGATGGTTTCACAACAACGACAGCGGGAGGAATCTGACCCTGGACTGACATTCCCAAAGCAGGTGACTTCCCTATTTGCTGAGGAATAAGAATCACTGGCTGTCCTGCCGACAACATCTCGTTTATAGCCGTTACTGATATCCCATTGATATCAGACAGACTAGAACTTGAAATAAACCCAGCTTGTTTAGGCGACATTGGCAGACCAGATTTGGAATCTTCGTCAGTTGGAGACTTGTCACTAGGTTGTTTAAAACCACCCAGTATTTGTTTTATCCCCATATTCTCATAAAGACACGTAGATAACCCCCCGATTTGCTCAGATTTTACATTCACCATGTCCTTGAAGTTACAGTTGTACTGTGGTACAGACTGCTTTCCAGTGTTTTCAATCACATTGTCAAACAGTTCCTGTGAACCCCACGATTGGTGCATGTACTCATTCCTTTGGAGACCTCCTCTGGCTGTCTTTATCCTTTTATCTGGCTCATCTTTGGGTGTCTTGGTGATCATGTCTTGCATTCTTTCAATCATCCTCTTTGACCGACGCCCTAATCTAGATGCTGATGATAAATGAAAAGATATGTAGTTAATAAACATTTATTGTGTATTTTTATATCTGTATCTGTATCTGTTGCACCTGACCTTGTATATATTCTGAAACCGGGAAATATTTACCCATCCCCAATGCTCATACAAATTATATAGCATAACGATTATAGCACCTATTGTATGTGTAAGTATAGACATATGCATAATTTCAGCAGATACAAAGACAAAAGTTTTGCTAAATGTTCTCTTTGTTACACAAAATTTTCACCATTTTTCATTTTGGTGAGGGGGGGGGGGGGTAGCTAAATTTCAAGTTAAATAAAATTTTCTGTTAATATAATGGTGCAAACAACCTGTGGAATCTGTGTCGATAGGTCACTTTCATGGTCCCTATATTAGTCGTGCATCCTGGTACTTTTGTTGGTGCACATCATAAAAATACACAGTTGGGTCATTCTGTATTTTTGATCCTTACAGAAACATTTTACTCACTGAAGCAGCTATATTAAACAGTCAAATCACGGAAATTGTTCTGAAATACCAACAAAATAAACACATTTTTCGTTTTTAAAAGTGACCTATTATAGACACTCCTGCAATGGGAATTTTAGACTTTTTGGTTTGGGGGTTCTATGCATTGGGTTAATTTGATAATTCACTGACTACATTTAAGATTTTGTTCACAGACCAGAATTCTAGAGTGTGCAGTACAATATGCTCTTGTAGTTACCCCGGTACAAGTAGTTGGGGATAGCACCCTCTAGTGTTAAGTTTTGCTTCTACTGGTATAAACTGTAATGTACACTGCTTTTACTTTGAATTCATTTTCGATGAAGAGATGAATCAATGAAAATAAATTTTTTCCTACATTTTACATTTAACTCATCAAAATAAAGCCACAATGTCTTTTCAGACAAATATTTTACAGTATTCCAAATATTCAAGCTGTAGTTTGTCACTGATCACTTGGCGTGCTATATGCTCGCTAAAAAAAAAATCAAACAGAAATGACCATTTCATTCACTGTAATTTTTGAAACACAAGAAATTCAAATTAGAGCAAATTTGTTTACATTTCTGTAATTTTCAATTAACTCAATCTTAATTTTGGACCAAACAGACAAAATGTGACACTGCTTTCAATTTTTGATCAAACAAATTGAAGAATTTAAAAAAAAAAACATTTGGAGATTATAAATTTATGATTTTGTGGATCAAAGGATAAAATCAAAAAAATTTTACCAGATATTGCCTGGTCAATGACGTAATTACAGCTCTCTGAACTAAGTATGGAAAATTAAATATTTCAATTATAACCACCAAACCGCCCTCTAGTGGTGATTTCTAACACTAAAAGGCCCTCGAGTGGTGATTCTTGACCTAAAGCGCCCTCTATTGGTGTAACCCGTAACCTACCATCTTTTGACATTCCAACTGAACAGCACTTTCTCCATCTACATAACTGACACTGGTTGCGGGTATAGATTGATATGTCACACATTTCCTTATTTGTACATGTGTAACTTGTGTGTTGTGAGATACTGCGTCGAAAGAAGCCCTGAAACAAAATAATTCAGTTCTACATCAATATTTTATTTTGCATCAGTATTTATTCATTGATAGGAACTCAAACTCTTGTTTTTCTTTCAGGCAGATTTTGTTTAATCCCATTTTTTTTCAATCACAATACATTCTAGCCCCCCTTCTATCCTAATAATGTTCCGTTCCTTAAATCCAATTTTATGTCTACCGGGTGAGTAAGATTTTAATATTAAACAAATTGTTATAAATTTGTACATACACAGAGATGAGATGAGGTAAGATACACCACCATTTTGATCCACAGACATGAAACCCCTTTGCCCCTGTATTTTTACAAAATTGCATGGAATGGACTTTACTTAGGGAGGCCATCAAAATAAAACCAGCGGCTTCTGGCCGCGTACAAATTAAGGAGCTCCTTGGAGCTACTTGGTCTTCTGCGCTATATGCAAATTTATGTAAGAATATTCATGAGCTGAGAGTTCAGTGCAATGCCTCTATTTCGCAAGTGGATTAAATTGATTGAAATCCCATTGTTTTTTCTCTAAAAGGATGTAAAGTACTGTAAAATAAGACAACTAAACATAAACGAACATCCTGAACGAACATACATTTAAACATTTTTAAGGTTTTGAGCACTTAATAACATCATTTCTTTAATAATACTTTTTTTAATTTCTGATTATTTTCTCTGAAGAATAGGTATTCTTGCAGCAACATTTATGTTTATGTTTGCACTTCAATCAGGGAAGACCGCCCTCCTCTCTGAAGAAGCTGGGAAATTGTACTATGTTATCTTTTGTTCAGCTGGGTTTTAACGCTGCCTTTAATATTGAAATGACACAACACATGCCCTAATTTGAATGGGCAATAGTCCGTGTGCAGCAAATGTATGAATTCCATGTACCGCATTATATTTTACGCATGTAGAACATGACATAGCACAGTGGATATCACACTTCAAAAAGTGACAAATCCAAACCATGATGTAACATACATGGTCTCAAGCTCTTTCCAATAACCCAACAGTTTGGGTAAGCTTAAAGCATATATAACTATAATACTGTAAAATACTTTATTTTCGCTTGGAATTAATTTTCGCTGAAGGAATGATTCAGTGAAAATAAAATCCATCGAATATACCGGTACCTTTTTTTTCTATATTTTACATTCAAGTTGTCAAAAATCAGTGAAAATAAATTCCATACAAAACACCCAAAATGTCTTTTCAACGAAAATAAAGTATTTTACAGTAAGTATAAGATCCAAGTATGCACAGATGGGTGAAGTACTTGTAGCAATAGGTACGAGAAAAATCAGCATAGTTCGACAAGTGGGTATTGACACCATTTGTATTTTTAATAAAATGAGCCATGTCTAGACATAACGCACACTGACAAGAAAGTCAGAGAAATTGTAGATGATGATTAGTATAAATATGGTTGACACTTATTACTGTAAATGTCACACCATAGCAGTCATTAGTGTTGATCGGTAATGACAGATTCTTATTGATTACAGTATCATATCAGCTGTACGTTGATAATAAGCTACTGATTAATGTTTCACTAAATCACCAAACAAAATAAACAGATGCATGGTGCTCATGTTAGACTGTAGAGCTGTATTGATTTCTGCTGTATATATCTCACAATTTATATATCAAGTGACAACTCCCCCCCCCCTCCAACGCAATAATCAGTGTAGTAGGTTTAGTCTTACCTTACATCCTTCGCAGGAATGGACACCATAATGAAAACCTGTTGAAGTGTCTCCACAGATCTGACACGATATCAATTCATTCAACTGATCTGTAAAATTAATAAAGTCACAGTTATCACTAAGTCAAACGAAAGCAGCATGGTTACACAACACAGACATTCTGAGGATTTCTGAAATTGATACATGCCTAGTCAAACACACAAGAGAATACAGGTACATGTAACTAGTCTTTTTTTAATTTAACACTTTTGGAATTAAAATCAGATTTCAAGCCGTTGACCAAAATGATTATGTTCCAATAATCCAAGTCAAGTTACATCACACATATAAAATCCAAGTAAATATTAATTACGTTTATGGATTTATGAACTTAAAAACAATAACATGCCTTGCAAGACATCATGTGACAGGAAATTGATAAATAAATCTAAGAACCAGTACTGATCTTTCTTGTAAGATGTGATATAATAAACTTCATTTTTTAATTGCGATGATTTTTATTTCAGGTAATTAAATTTGTGGTCCTCATTATGTCTGCTTATTTAAAGCCTAGTTTTCATTGAGACATTTTGAAATGGATTACTTAAACTACAGGGGAAAGTGTGACATGGCACATTCACATGTGTACGTGATACTACGTGGCACACCAAGAGACATCAATTCAGTGAACTTTGTGTTTGCAAATAAGGTTGTATGGCTGCCTTTAATTAGAACAAATGATCAGACTTCCTTGACATTCACACGATAGTTTGAACGAAATGTGAAGCACACAGAGATCGATGAATCCTAAGCAGGTACCAGCACGGATTTGAACTGCAATGAATTAGGAGCAGATCACGTATAGTACAAACCAGACGTGAAGCACACCAGAACGAATCCTGTGTGCACCCGAGCAGAGAGCATGTACTTTGGATGTTGAGAACATCAGCATGGCACTCAACCGCACAGAATATATAATAGAGGGAATGCAAAGCAATTAATCAAACGAGGTGAATCCATTACTTGATAATTTAAATTTAATGCTTCATCTACAACTTCATCTATTTAAACAGAAATGATGATTATTGAATAAATAATCATTGCATGCATTCACCATTGTTGTTGTTTTTGCAAAAACAAAAGAAACCTTTTAATGTGAATTAGTTTTTATTGCAAATTGATTAATATTGAAGAGGTTTAATGGCATGAATCCCACAAGTTTTGACTTGCATTTATACCCAATTATTTTACATTCATCGTTTAACGATGAGTGTTTTATACAACCCTGGACCAAGTTTATTGTTACACTCAATACACATTATAATATACCACTGCCCATATAAGGACAATATGTGATGTTATTGCTTATTTGAGTATTGTCTTGTGGGTCGTGTATGTCGTTTTTGTCAACTGTTTGACAGTTGTTTGTTTGTGATGAATAAATAACAAGTTAGGGATATCAAATTGTATAAATAGTAAGTTAGGGATATCAAGATGAATAAATAGCAAGTTTGGGATATTAAGATGAATAAATAGCAAGTTAGGGATATCAAGATGAATGAATAACAAGTTAGGGATATCAAGATGAATAAATAACAAGTTAGGGATATCAAGATGAATGAATAAGTTAGGGATATCAAGATGAATGAATAAGTTAGGGATATCAAGATGAATTAATAACAAGTTAGGGATATCAAAGTAAATAAATAGTAAGTTAGGGATATCAAGATGAATGAATAAGTTAGGGATATCAAGATGAATAAATAGCAAGTTAGGGATATCAAGATGAATGAATAAGTTAGGAATATCAAGATGAATAAATAACAAGTTAGGGATATCAAGATGAATAAATAACAAGTTAGGGATATCAAGATGAATGAATAAGTTAGGAATATCAAGATGAATAAATAACAAGTTAGGGATATCAAGATGAATAAATAACAAGTTAGGGATATCAAGATGAATAAATAACAAGTTAGGGATATCAAGATGAATGAATAAGTTAGGAATATCAAGATGAATTAATAGCAAGTTAGGGATATCAAGATGAATAAATAACAAGTTAGGGATATCAAGATGAATAAATAACAAGTTAGGGATATCAAGATGAATGAATAAGTTAGGGATATCAAGATGAATTAATAACAAGTTAAGGATATCAAAGTAAATAAATAGTAAGTTAGGGATATCAAGATGAATGAATAAGTTAGGGATATCAAGATGAATAAATAACAAGTTAGGGATATCAAGATGAATGAATAAGTTAGGAATATCAAGATGAATAAATAACAAGTTAGGGATATCAAAGTGAATAAATAACAAGTTAAGAATATCAAAGTAAATAAATAGTAAGTTAGGGATATCAAGATGAATGAATAAGTTAGGGATATCAAGATGAATAAATAGCAAGTTAGGGATATCAAGATGAATAAATAACAAGTTAGGAATATCAAAGTAAATAAATAGTAAGTTAGGGATATCAAGATGAATAAATAGCAAGTTAGGGATATCAAGATGAATGAATAAGTTAGGAATATCAAGATGAATAAATAACAAGTTAGAGATATCAAAGTGAATAAATAGTAAATTAGGGATACCAAGATGAATAAATAGCAAATTGGGGATATCAAGATGAATAAATAGCAAGTTAGGGATATCAATATGAATAAATAAGTTAGAGATATCAAGATGAATTAATAGCAAGTTAGTGATATCAAGATGAATGAATAAGTTAGGGATATCAAGATGAATAAATAACAAGTTAGGGATATCAAGATGAATGAATAAGTTCGGGATATCAAGATGAATAAATAACAAGTTAGGGATATCAATATGAATAAATAAGTTCGGGATATCAAGATGAATAAATAACAAGTTAGGGATATCAAGATGAATGAATAAGTTAGGGATATCAAGATGAATAAATAACAAGTTAGGGATATCAAGATGAATGAATAACAAGTTAGGGATATCAAAGTAAATAAATAGTAAGTTAGGGATATCAAGATGAATGAATAAGTTAGGGATATCAAGATGAATAAATAACAAGTTAGGGATATCAAGATGAATGAATAAGTTAGGGATATCAAGATGAATAAATAACAAGTTAGGGATATCAAGATGAATGAATAAGTTAGGGATATCAAGATGAATAAATAACAAGTTAGGGATATCAAAGTAAATAAATAGTAAGTTAGGGATATCAAGATGAATGAATAAGTTAGGGATATCAAGATGAATAAATAACAAGTTAGGGATATCAAGATGAATGAATAAGTTAGGGATATCAAGATGAATAAATAACAAGTTAGGGATATCAAAGTAAATAAATAGTAAGTTATGGATATCAAGATGAATGAATCAGTTAGGAATATCAAGATGAATGAATAAGTTGGGGATATCAAGATGAATGAATAAGTTAGGGATATCAAGATGAATAAATAACAAGTTAGGGATATCAAAATGAATAAATAACAAGTTAGGGTTATCAAAGTAAATAAATAGCAAGTTAGAGATATCAAGATGAATAAATAACAAGTTAGGAATATCAAAGTAAATAAATAGTAAGTTAGGGATATCAAGATGAATTAATAGCAAGTTAGGGATATCAAGATGAATGAATAAGTTAGGGATATCAAGATGAATAAATAACAAGTTAGGGATATCAAAGTAAATAAATAGTAAGTTACGGATATCAAGATGAATAAATAACAAGTTTGGGTTATCAAAGTAAATAAATAGTAAGTTAGGGATATCAAGATGAATGAATAAGTTAGGGATATCAAGATGAATAAATAACAAGTTAGGAATATCAAAGTAAATAAATAGTAAGTTAGGGATATCAAGATGATTAAATAGTAAGTTGGGGATATCAAGATGAATAAATAGCAAGTTAAGGATATCAACATGAATGAACAGAATGTGTTTTTTTTTTTGCGTAATACCATAGAATACTATCCTATGTTTTATTTCCCCAGAAAATATACAATAATAACATACACAAGATAGAGATATCAAGATGAATAGATACCAAGTTAGGGAAATCAACATGAATAAACAGCAAGTTAGGGATACCAAAATATAGTTGATTATGACATGGGTGCAATAAGATTCAATGTGTGACAGACAGATGACATGACAAGCAAGGAGCGCTGGAGCACAGCCATAAATAAGTGACCTTGTCATTGCTCCACAGTGACAGTTCGTTGAACTGCGAATAAAGTAGGCGAACATTACAGTGCAGCTACATGTAGCCAAGAGCTGTCTGTACCAAACGATAAAAATAAATCAAAAAATCCCTGTATACATGTATATATGAATGCATTTTCTATTTAGCTGAAGGGCTGTATTTCTTTGACTAAAGTGCATTTTCCTATACATTGTACGTAAGCAAAAAATGCTACGAATCTTTAAACTAGGGGTTTTTCTAGAAAAAAACTGCAAGAGAGAACACTGCAATTCAGCGGCGCCACCAAGTGGGGGAGATAGGGTTCTCCCTACCAGGGTGTGGAGTTTTTGATAATTCTAAGTTAAAATCGAGCATTCTATGGCTTCCTTGGGGCCAAAATTACTATCAGACAGGTCACAGTTGAAGACTGTGGTCACATGTGATCTTTGGTCAATAAGAATTTTATGGTTGCCAGAGGATTTGCTCCCCAGAGTAAGGGGACACATGGCCATGGCAAGAGGGCGCTGCGCCCCTTGTTTAAAAAAAAATCCCTGTTTAAACGTCATGATATTAGTTTCAGTAAAAGTCATTTGATTTTTTAACTGCCAGAGTAGCCACAATTTAATGTGAAATATGCTCGATTTCCCAGAAAGTGCTCGCAAAAAAAAGTAGAAAAGAAAACTGACAATAAATACACATATGAGCATAGTAAATGAGCGTAGCTATGTTTGCCATTCCATGATATTACCACATCTCCAAAGCTGGAAATTTTTTCACTGTAGACCTTTACTGGTGCAATTCATGAAACAGAGAAGTGAAACGAACAAAGTCGCACATTTTCATATTGAGATACTTGAGATATAATTTTGCGCTGTCAAACGTATACGTATTGTATTTACTCCATTGTGAAAATATACATGTAGAAGCGCATAAAAACCGCAT